AAGTGATTTTTTCAAAATTTTTTAGCAAATGATTATCGCTTCTAAATCACTAAACAAAAAAGAATAATGAAATGCAATACTGATTTCAACTAATTTCTAACTAATTAATAAAAATTATCCTGTCAAAAAGTAATTAATTGACAGAATAATTCATGTAACGTTGGGTACCTCAATGTAACGTCACTTTAAATAATAGTAGGAAAAAATCTAAACTCAAAAGGTGTGAAATTATACCAAGAAATTCGGCAAAAAATAGGGGTGAAATTACTGGGAAAAATTAGGTTTTAGTTATTTTATTTTATCAAATTTAAACTTATATCAAGCAGAACGATTAGTTGTTCGGTTTTTTATCGGTTTTTTATCATATAAAACCGATGGTTAACCGGTCGGTTTAAGACCAAAACCGAACCGTACCGAAACTGATAAAAACCGGTTATAACCGGTTGCAACCGAACTTTTGGCATCCCTATTTAGTACCGTCTGAAAAGGTTTTTCATTAACTGGGATATATTAAGTTCTTAGTCGGCTAAGAGTTGTTTGAATTGGGTTTTTCTATCGGCTAACATCGCTATCATCAGGAAATTTTTCTGATGCAGATTTACGTAATTATTACACTATTTACGTAAGTTTACGGCGGGCCCGTAATATTATACAAATAAGCATACAAAAATTATGCAATTATTACATCGAATGTAAATATTGCATAATTTTTATGCAAATATTACAAATTTACATATTAAAATTTACGGACGTAATATTGCGGCGGGGAAAATTTCCTGGTGATGATTAAACTGCTTTATAGTAATAAATAGAAATGAGACTACATTGACATAAATCGTTACTAGCTTTTAACATCAAATACAAACTCTTACGCAAGTAAACAATTTAGTAAGAAACGCTTTTGGAATGGTGATATATTTGCTAGCTAGATATTCAAGTAATTATTTATAGGCTTCCATTATCTATATCTTTTATATTTTTTAATTCATAATTTACCCAACAATAAAGTTAAAAATTGGTAATTATAATTGGAGGTTGAGAATGCCACATTTACTTGTTGGCTCTCATTCATTAATTCATTCGCCTAAGCTCAAAATCCTATAAAGGGGGTCTGGGACACTTTACCGACATCCACTTTACCGATAAGACACTTTACCGACAACACGCGGGGTTACATTTAATCTCTACACAATCAAACAAACTAACAAAATGCTAAAATATCACGTTGCATGTTGTCGGTAAAGTGTCTTGTCGGTAAAGTGTGTGTCGGTAAAGTGTCCGGGTCCGCCATAAAGGACATATCAATTACACAGTGAATCTCGATTTAACGGACCTCGATTTAATGGGTAGTAATTAAAAAAACTCGGTTTTACGGACAAAGTTCAAAGAACGGTTCCATAATAAACCTTAATAAAAACCTTCTCGATATAGCGGATATCTCGGTTTAACGGATTTTTGGAAAATTCTCCCTGATTGCCCAAACTATCCGCTAAATCGAGATTCACTGTGTATTTATGTGGCTTATGTGATCTGTAAAACGTAAAGTAATAAAAGTATTATTTTATTATTCAATTGTATGAAAAAGAACTTATCAATTATTCCTGAATAGTAAAATATAGATCATTAAACTTGGACAACTGCTGTTTTTACTAAAGGGTATAAATGCAATTATCGACAGGCCAATGTAATATATCTATTTAGTAATGACAAATTGCAATAACAAATGATCATATATCTGAATAAATTATATTTGTTGTTATTAAATGTATTAAAGGCATTGAATGTTAAAATCATGTTGTCTCATCTATTTATCTATTTCTATATATATATACGATGTACTGTGTAACCGTTTACCCTTAAATGTTTAATTCGTGATCCACCAGTTAAGGAATAACGCCGATCCGAGGATTTTGCAAATCTCATCTTTTAAAAAAAATTTTATATCAAATGTCACCACCAGAAAATCCTATATTATCAAGACTTCGCTCACATGACAGCAATAGATCTCCTGATATTCCTGAATTAAACTTTAATGATAATAATGAAGCTAATTCCACTAAAAAAGTTCGACTTGATAATCATGTTATTGCTTCTGAGCCAAACGAGCTGACGTCTCCTTCTAAACGATCTAATAGAAGAAAAGTACCAATAATATCAAAAGAAGTACAAGATGGTGGTGAAGATGGTGGTTCTACTGTTAATACTACCATAAGTGAGATTAATAATGATAAGTCATCATCCAAAAAAACAAATAGTAGAAGAAAGAACAAATCAGTAGTAGCGACCAATCTAAAAAGTAATACCGTTTCACCATTTAGACGAATTACCAGGGGATATTCCAAATTAATAAATAAAGATCAAATTGAAAATAATACTCGTGCTGAGAAGGTTATGGTTGCAAAGACCGAATCACATACAAAAGCTATTGATGAAAAGGCATTAGATAATTCTAATGAAGTTGAAGATGTTGTTGATACATTAACGCCTGATAGTAATAATAATAATAATATAAATTTGACTGAAAGTTCATCCAAATCAGAGATGAATAGCAACAGCAACAAACAACATATTCAAATTGATGTTCAAAAAAAAAAAATTGAGATCTCTGTTGAGGAGAAAGAGGGGTTACGTGTTGTTATTTTCAATAATAACGGCAATAATAATAGAGAACAACATGATGTTGAAATGTTGAATAACAATATAACTGAAGATGTAATTAATGTTGAAAATAATAATCAGAAGCAACAGGGCAGTGAAGAATTGTTAAATAATGAGTTATCTACAAATCAGTCATCGCCGTCATCTTTTACCCACTTGTCCCGATCCAATATAGTTAAAGATGTGGCAATATTCGTTGAGAATAGTCAATATGAGCACCGTGTTGAAATTGAAAACAATGATGATAATATAGCTAAAGAGATAGCACCGGTTGAAAATCGTCAAGATGTTGACATAGTTAACAAGTTGACTGCTGTTGAAAACAATCAAGGTGAGTATGTTGAAATTAAAAATAATGATGATAATACAACTAAAGAAGTAACGCCTGTTGAAAATAATCAAGATCAACAAAGCGTTGGAATTAATGATGATGATGAGGATATAATTAACAAATCAATAATAACTGTTAAAAATAATCAATGTGAAAAAGATGTTGAAATGTCGACTAATGATGTTGATATAGTTAATGAGTTGATTATAGCTGAAGATAATCAAAATGTACAAGATATTGAAATGTTAACCGATGATGATGGTATAGATAAAGAAGTAATTCCTGTTGAAAATAACCAAGATCAACAAGATGTCGAAATATTAACCAATGATGTTGATATAGTTAATGAGTTGACTACCGCAGAAAATAATCAAGACCTACAAAGTGTTGGAGTTAACAATGATGATGATGATGATGATGATATAATTAACAAGTCAATAATAACTGTTAAAAATAATCAATGTGAAAAAGATGTTGAAGTGTCGACTAATGATGTTGATATGGTTAATGAGTTGGTTATAGCTGAAGATAATCAAAATGTACAAGATGTTGAAACGTTAACCAATGATGATGATATAGATAAAGTAATTCCTGTTGAAAATAACCAAGATCAACAAGATGTCGAAATATTAACCAATGATATTGACATAGTTAATGAGTTGACTACTGTAGAAAATAATCAAGATCTACAAGTTGTTGAAATTAAAAATAAATATGTTGACATAGTTAACAAATTGATCACTACCGAAGATAATATAGGTGAGAAAGATGTTGAAATTAAAAATCAAGATGATGATATAGCTAAAGAGGTAATTCCTGTTGAAAATAATCTAAATCTACAAGTTGTTGGAATATTAAACAATGATGTTGATATAGTTGACAAGTTGACTACTGTTGAAAATAATCAAGATGCTGAGATTAGAAATAATTATGATAATACAACTAAAGCAGCAACTCTGGTTGAAAATAATCAAGGTCAACAAAATGTTGAACTTAATGATGATGATGATGATGATCTAGTTAACAAGTCGATAACTGTTGAAAATAATTCATGTGAAAAAGATATTGAAATATTAAAAAATAATATTGATATAGTTAACAAGCTCGAAAATAGTCAAGGTGAAAAAGATGTTGAAATTAAAAATCAAGATGACGATATAATTAATGAGCGGACAATCGTTGAAAATAACCAAGGTGAACTAGCGGCTGAAATTCAAAATAAAAATAATGACATAGCTAACGATTGTACAACTGCTGAACCTAATCAATTAAAACAAGACGTTGAAATTAACCAAGGACAAAAAGATCTTGAAATTAAAAATATTGACATATCTAAAAGTACAAAGGCAAGCTTTGACGATGACATGGAAATTGAATATACTAATGTTGAAGAAAACCAAAACAAAAAATCTAAAAAAAGGTTTGATTTTATTTTTTTCCAATTATTAATTAATTATTAATTAATAATATCGTCTTAATTAAAATTACAGAAAACATGCACTGGATGTAAATTCAAATAAAAAGATAAAAAAGTCGATGCAAAAAAAGAGGAAAAAATTGAATGATAAAAAAAATAATGGGTAAACATTTCATTAAACTCATAATGGAATCCAATTTTAATGATTTTTAATGATAAAAATAATAAAATTTCCTATTAGGTCGATATCTGTAATTGCATTGGAATCACAGTCTAATGATTCGATAAAAATAAATAAGGAAGTTAATGATTTTAAAACAAATAGAACAATTGGAAGGCTTCAAAGCAAAAATGTTATCTTCAATTTTGGTCAGGGCAAAAATGGACCATCATTAAAATTCAGAAGATAATTTTTGTATGAAATTTTATTTATTTTTAACTTATATAATAAATCTTGGTTTATTTATATCAAATATAAAATTTTTTTTATTATGTGATTTTTTACAACTGGCTTTATTAATTAAAATCGTTCGTAACACACTGAATTTTCCATTGTTATTTCTCATAAATCATAATCATAATTAACAATAAACAATGTCTTTACCAGAGGATGCTTTACACAAGGTAAAAATTATAAAAAATAAGATAAAAGGAAAACAATTATTGATGTTTTTTATTGTAACGATCTTTTTTTAATAAAGGTATTAATGGAATTACAAACTCGTTTACTAGAGAATAATCGACAATTGAACATTGTGAAAACACAAATCCAGACCAAAGAACGAGAAAAACGTTTTGCAGAACTTACAAAACATGAATTATCAAGTTTGAATGAAAATATAAGAACATATAAATCTGTTGGAAAAGCGTAAATATTTGATTTTTCTAAAAAAAAAAAAAAAAACAATTAATATGAATTGATTAATATAAATTTTTTTTTTTTAGATTTATTAAAACTGATATAAACATATTAAAATCAGATCTTGAAACAACAATTACAAAAACTGTGTCGGATTTAACAGCATTAGGAAAATCAAAAAAATATATAGAAAGAAATATTAGTGATTCAGAAGCTGGTTTAAGAGAAATTATTGGTCGTCCTTTAAGTAATATTGATAATAAGCCTTAGCTATCCTGAAAAAAAAGAAATAATATGTAAGAATTGATTGATTGATTTGATTATTGGTCACATATACCAACTAATGATACTTGCTAATTATTTTATTATTATTAAATATTTTATAAATATTCCTTTTAAAATGTTCTAATATAATACAATATTAATGCTTTTTTTAATATATATAAGATTTTTTTTAAATAAATTCATGTGAAAAAAAAAAAAATCCTCCAACGAATGTTCAAAAATAAATTTTTAAAAAAAATCTAAATGTATGAATGACAGATTATATGAAATTAAAAAAATTAAATTAAAAAATTAAAAATGTCTTTAAAAAAAAATAATAATAAAAATAATAAAACTAATAATAAAATAATTTTTTATTATTGTAAATTAGAATAATTGTTTTTATGCAGATTAATCAATCAATCAATCATCATATTAATAAAACAGAATCAGGCCTAACAAAAATACCATGATTATTTGCAGCTGCAAAATATTTTATGTTTGCCACGGTTCCATTATTCTTGCCATCTAAATAATATAAAAAAATAAATTAATAATGATGATAATAATAATAATAAATGCTCATTAAATAATGACAAGCAACTTACCAGAATCATCCAATTCTACTCCAACCCAAATACCTTTGGCAAATTCAGTCTCACCCAAAAATTGTATGGTACCGGATGCATTACCCTTGGTTGGAATTATAACACGCCTACCAATCGAAATATCAGGATTGAGAGATGTGGCAAACTTGATTTGAAATGGCTTGGGTTGTATACTGGTAACTAAATTACCCGAAAATGGTGAGACAATGGATGCTGCTTGTGAATTTCGTGATGGCGATCGCTTTCTACGTTGATGATGTGATGATGTTGTTGTTGCGTTGCTTGTGACCGATGATACAGATACTATAGAATTTGCTCTTGATGAGTTTGGTGAGATACCGCTGCGTTCTCTATCACGTCCACGTTTTTGATCTGTATTATCATATTTCATTTGTCGCAATATACTAGACCTTGTTTGCCTTACTCCTCCATATCTCGATGGTGAAACAGATGGTGAAACAACAGATCTAATTGATGACACTGATGATGCACGTGATGATGAAGGTGATGTACTTTTTTTGTTGGGAGAGCGCCCTCTTGATGTTCTTGATGAGCTTGACCCATTAGGAACTTTGAGATTTGAAGTTGATTTAGATGATCTGATAGATGGACCATTTATTGACTTATTTGAACTAATTGGTGATGTTTTTGTCGGGGTTGTTGTTAATAGTGATAATGATTTTTGTTTAGGTGTTGATTTTGGTCTGGGTTTTATAGGATTTTTTGCATCCTCTAATGCTTTTTGTCGTAATATACTAGCACGAGTTGGGCGCGGAAAAAGTGTCGAAGAAGTTGCACTACCAACTCTAGCGATTTTGTTTTTATTTGGTAAACTTTTGATATTATTATTATTATTATTACTACTATTATTACTATTATTATTTTTACTATTATTATCATTACTGTCATCATTAATGTTATCATTATTATTATCTTTAATGTTACTATTACTGTCATCATTAATGTTATCATTACTATTATCTTTAATGTTACTATTACTGTCATCATTAATGTTATCATTAATGCTATCATTACTGTCATCATTAACGTTATCATTAATGCTATCATTACTGTCATCATTAACGTTATCATTAATGCTATCATTACTGTCATCATTAATGCTATCATTACTGTCATCATTAATGTTATTATCATTACTGTTATTGTTATCATTACTGTTACTGTTATCATTAATATTATCATTACTATTGTCATTAGAACTTGTTGAGTCGCTAGTTTCTTGTAAACTAATTGCAGATCTTTCAAATATTTCATTGATTTCTTCATTTGTTATTATTGATAGATCGTCGTCTGGTGTTGTTGATAAAACGCCCGTTATTGGTGAAGTTATTATTATTGGCGAAATTTCTGTTTTTGTTTTTGTTGTAGTGGTAGCATCAGTTGTTCTTGTAGGCGGTGATGGTGGTGATGGTGGCGGCGATAGTAGGGATGGTAGTGATGGTAGTGATGGTAATGACTGCGGTGATGGTAATGGCGGTGGCGGTGGTGGTGGTGGCGGTGGCGGTGATGGTAGTGATGTTAGTGGTGGTGGTGGTGAATCTTCTGTTGTCGTTATTGAAATTTCTATTGAAACTTCTTTTGTTATAACTATTGGTGAGAATTCTGTAAAAGGTTCTGCAAAAGGTTCTGTTATTGGATTTGAATCTTTTGATGTTTCTGATGGATCTTCTGTTAATATAGCTGATACCGTCGATGTTATTGTGGATGATATAGAAGATGTGGATGATGATGCAGACGATGTAGATGATGCAGAAGATGACGATGATGATGATTTTGTAGATGATTTTTTTGATGATGATGATGATGGCAAAGGCGGCGGTAATGGCGGCAATGGTGGTAGTGCCTTCAATATTTCTGATGAAGTATCATCATTATTACTAGTTTCTTTTGAAGAAATGCTTCTCAAACTTGATAAACTTGGTCTAGGCGATATTCGGTTCTTTAAATTATGGTGTGTTTGTGATGGATTGGCGACTGTCAGTAGTTCTTGAGTACTAACGCCAAGACTGTGTGAAAATTCTTCTAGCAGCCAAGAGTTTAACAATTTAAAACCACCATTTTGTCTTATATTCAAACAATGTCTTTTCATGTATTCAAACACATATTGTTTTGATTCAACCAATATTCTTTTTGTCTCAATACTTTTTGCATTAATAACAGCAGGTCTAGTTAATAATTTACTTGATATGCTTTTAAGTACTTTAGCAGAATTCTGTTCATTCAAGCCTTCATGTACAACACCTGACATAATGTCCTCTAAAAATCCATGACTATAACCAACTCCATCAACACAATCCAAAAATTCATGTCCCTCATTACATACCTGTTCAAAATTTTCTACTAATACCTTTATGGCAGAAGATTTCACTTGTTTAGTCATTTTGCGCACTACCCCTATCCAAGGGGAATCCGTTATATTTTTGACATTGATTGTTGATATGATTTTCCTACAACCTTTAAATATTGACATGATATCACTATTTTGAATGTTTGTCACGAGTGCCAGCAATATTTCTTCCCTTACTATCCCATCAAGTTCAGCAAAATTCTTATGAGGCCACATAATATCAAAGCCTTTTGTTAAAACGTGTAAACAACCCTGCCATAATTTCTTAACATCGTATTCTTTTGCAAAAGCAGCAACACTGGGCATAGCAATTTGACACTCGGAACAAGTACATGTGAAATAATGAAGTCTTGTTGCGATTCTATGAATACAATCTTCGCAAAGATTCTTTATCCCTAAATAATAAGAACCCACCCAGATCCATTCACAGGTTTCTAAAGTTAATGAATATTGTAAATTACCAGTATAAATATATTCAAGTATCATATTAAAAGCAGTTTGGCTGAATATTGAAGTGTCCAGATATATGGTAGCAGCCTTGGGATCCATAGGATTTGAAGAGCTTAAAATCTCCCTAAAATATTCAGATCTTGCCGCTAACATGAATTTATGGGCTTTAAAAGTCACCGATCTAACTAAATCTAACTCTTCGTCCTCTTCACTTATGATTTCTAGGTTATCTTGTGGTGGATACTCCAAAATTATTTCAATGTCGGTGTACAATTTTGATTTGTACATGTATATTAAATCTTCCTTTAATTTATCCTGTTCCAATTCATCTGTTGTGTCTACAGCTGCCAAAAATTCCTCGCTACCTTCCTCACCAGTATAAAAAAAGTTTAATTCTTGTTGAAATAAAATAGGATCGGCATCTGTTTTAACAATTATTGCGTCAATTAGGGAGTCTAGATTTGACAACCTGACCGATTTTATGGACATTCCATTTGAATCTCTATTTTTTAGAAAACGTTCTTGAAATGAACGTGAACTTCTTGCATATAAAATTGCTATTATGTAATGATTATATATGATCTAATTAATCAAAGTTTTTTACCATTAAAAAATCTTTAGATAATGAACACAATACCTTTATGAGCAAAAATAATGGTTTGATCAAGTGTGAATGTGAATTCCCAAGCTACATCAGCATATAAGTCACCAGCATGTTCAAGTGCAAACCTCAAATCTTCAATCAAACTATCTTTAGGAGGAGTAGCATAATCTATGTCAGGTGGTGGTAATATATTGTTTTTTCTTCTGTCTGAAAACATGAACTGTTAATATATTATTTAATTAATTGTTAAGAGGTTATAATATATGTTAAATACGAATAATAACTTGATTAAATTATGATTAAAATAAAGTTAAAAAAATTGAAAAATTAAAGAGAGTAAAGAAATTTGTTATATTATTTATTTTTTTATTGTAATATTTAAAAAATAAAATATTTTATTATTGCATACATTAATTATATATATGTATATGCAATGTAAGACATATGATTGATTAATTAATAAAACAAATAAAAAAAAAAGAATGTTTAATTATGTTTTTAATTTTTAAGAAATAAAAAGAGTGTGAAGGTTAAAAATTATTTAAAAAAAAATTATATTTTTTTTCTTTTCGTACAAGAGTAAAAATCCCCCCCCCTCAAGAATCTTAATATTAAAATAAAAATAAAAATAAAAACAAAATTAAATTTTCATTCGTGTAATGTGGAAAATCTACCAATAGAAAGTTCATCTTTTAAATTAATATATAGTAATAGTGTCTCGTCAATTTATTAGTATTACAGTATTTTAGTAGTGCAACAATCAATCACATCCGTAGTTGTACTTAAAAATTTTTTATTTTGAATCAATTTTTAAAATTATTCTTTATTATTAATAACGTCATCATCATCATTATAATAATTATTATTATTGAAAAAACGAATCGCCTGATTCGGTGTCTTCGTCTTCGTCGTCATCGTCATTTGATCCTGGTTCAGAGACTACATATTCATCGGGTTCCGAGGGTTCCACTTCAGATTCTGATCCAAATATTTCCTTATATCTGGAGCTAACGGATTCGGGAACAGATGATTCTGTGCCTGTTGTTTCTTTTGATCCATTACTAGTTGTGGAGGCGGTGGAACTTGTAGAGATCGAACGACTCATGGGTTCTGTCATTATTTCACTAGTATCGACGGGACTAATTACAACTGAAACTGCGTTTACACTATTATTAATGTTATTATCGGTGTTATTTGAAACATCTATTTTTCTCCTTCTACTAGTGGTACTTGTGGTGTTATTATTGAGTATATAATTATCATCAACATAATTGGTGTTGCTATCTTCTTCTACTACTTCCTCTTCAAAGCCGTCGTTTTTGTCTTCTTCGTCAGCAATTTCTTCATATCTTCGTTTAGTTACAATTTTATCATTTTCACATACTCTTTTAGATCTTGTCATGTAATGACTCGAAGACGTAACATAATTGTCGTCATTTCGTGTACTTGATGTGTTATTATCAAGACCTGCTGCCCTTCTAGCACCACTACGTGTCCTGCTTGATATGATTTCAATATTTGCAAGTGTATCTGCTAAACGTTGTGCGTTTTTTTCTTTACGAATTCTTTTTGCATTAAGCTTCTCTTTTGCCTATTTAAAATTTAAGGAGAAAAATAAACCAATCAACCAATCAATTAACTTTAAGGAGGAAGAAAATATTAATTAAATATTATTATTATGTAAAATATACTTCAATATCCTGTTTTATTTTTGGAATAAGTTCATTATTAATTTTATTTCGAAGTTGTTTGTCTTTTCCCGCTGAAGCCTTTAACTCGTTTGAATTATTGATATAGTTTTCTAATTCTTCAAGTGTGGTTGTTATTGGCTCCCAAATAATTTTTTTTTGATTTTTACTTTTGTTTATGATGGTGGTTTCACGATAAATTCTTGCACCCTCTAAATAAAAATATTATTTATTGTAAAGTATAAAAGTATTAAGTATAAAAGTATCAAGTATAAAAAAGATATACAAAAATAAGATAAACCCAAATATGTACGTCACTTACTTCCAAAATAATAGTATCCGCGTCCTTTTTTATCTTCGCCAAATGGCAAAACATCAATATCATTATTGCGAACCTTTCTTCCGATTTGAAAAATGGCTTCTCGTATTACATTAGACTCTTGTAATTGCCATGTGACTAATTTATTTAATATTAATACCTATATATTATATATGTTTATTTATAGTCACAAATGAGTATTCATGATTTTTATGATAAATTTTGATTATTATTATTATTATTATTATTATTATTATTACTAACTTTATCTTCAACATCAAGTTCATAATAGTCGTTGACTTGTCGTAAGGGATTATAATTTTGATAGAATTGATTATTCATTTTAATTTTTTTATCAATAGTTTCTGACAAGATTTTTTTCCATGCATTTCCTCTGTAATTAATTAATGAATTAATAAATTTCTTTTTAAAATTTAAAATTTTTCTTTATTAATTGCATCCATACTTACTCTATGAGTCTCTTTCGATTTAAACAATTAGTTAGAAATGCACAATGTATCTTTTCTACCAGTTCACTCTGTGCTTCTTGTGCGAGTGCATACTCAAGTTCCTATTTAAGCATATATATTAATCATAAATCCATCGCACATTATAATATATTATTTTACAGAATATTAAGAAAAAATACCTCTGGCCAAAATTCAATTCCCTTCAAGAGCGAACCAAATTTTTCACAAAATGCAATAATCACCGAAGTTTCTTTCATTGACTTTACAATGTTTGTATTTTCTTCTATCTGGTTAGCAGTATCAATAGTGTTGTTTGTAGTTGAGGATGAAGCGATTGCTGGTGACATTGAGCTTTGTTTTTTTAAACTTGACATGGTTAAAGCATGAGTATGTTTATTTTTTAAAAAAGAACAATTTTTCGTTTGGGAGGAAAATTTTATCTATTGTTGTTGTTAAAAATTTATTCTGATGATGATAATGAATTAAATTTTAATATTTAGATTTTGTGTAACAAAAAATTAAAAATAAACGATAAAAATGAATCAAGAATGTTCTCGCAACTTATCTAGCATACCGACATGTTTTTGCGGAAAAATTGCATCCTGTCGTCTATCAGAGAGACCGGGAATTCTTATTTATGATTGTTATTATGTTAAACATGCTAATCCTTGGAATTTAGGGAGTTTACTTGAATATGACAATGAAAACCATGCGATCACAAATGTAAAATACAAATTTTCTTATTTGTCAGAAGAGGTAGGCAAAATGTTTTTATTTATTTATATGTAAGAAATTACATCCAGTTATTGAATTCAGAGAGATACTATTTAAAGGAAACTATTGAAGAATCCATTTCAATCACTCCACCCGCTTTATCTACTTCATTAACATCAACCACGGAAGAAATAGTTGATAATAACATTGAATCTGACCTTTGCAAACAAAAGGAAAATAGTATATGCGGTTTTCATGTACATCAACCAATATGGAATGAATTATGTTATGGAAGAGGATCGCAAAAGAATCATCCCGAGCTAAACACATGTCCTTTTTTCAACTTTACATATTGCGTTTTCTTTGAAACTATAAATGGTTTTCCCATCAATACGCCTTCTGTGCCAAGATGTTATTGTAACAAACCAATAGTTTTGAGAAGAATCGGTGCGAATAGTAATAATTTTGGAAAATGGTTTATGTCATGTGCAAGTTACCAAGTAATATATATATAAATCAATATCAGTATTCATTATTGAATTCATGTTAATGTTTACCTTTTTCTATAGATACCAGGAGCAAGACCAAAATGTGCATGGTTTAAATGGCCCGGACTGGTTAAATATGATAGTAAAGATCAATGTAGTCATGATGATATTTACAGATTTGAACAAGTCTTGATTATTGAAGCAAGATATCAAAAATGGCAATATGAAAAGAATTTAGGAAGTAAATTGATTGCCAATTTACAAAAAGAAGTCGAAGAAATTTTATTAGCAAATGATGATAATAATAACGAACGATAATAGCAATGATGCTTTATGATGGTGATGATGACGATATATTAATAATAATTTTATTAACTCTTCTAAGAGTTATGGGATTAGATTATTTTATTACCAAAACAAACAATATGTCATGTGATCATGTGATTGTGTGATAATGTTTTAAAAGAAACGACGTAATAAAAAAAAAACGAATAAATAATCAACATTTTATTATGATGTAATTTTAATTTGTCCTAAACCATTTATGATATAAAGTTTTTTAATAAAAGCCGAATAATTATTCCTTTCAAAAATTCAAAAACACAAACCAAAAAACACAAACCAAAAATCAAAATCAAAATCAAAAATCAAAATCAAAATAACAAAAATGAAACCAATAGAAAATATTCAATCGAAATACAAATATTATAATTCCCAAGCTGACAAAGATTTATCAAATTATTCATTAATGGTTATGTCAGAACGCTATACTGGAATTCCAAAAACTTATATTGCTGCTAGCTTTGCTGTTACCTTCTTTTTTTTGATCTTTTTCAATATCGGTGGAGAAATTTTCTCTAATCTTATTGGATGGGTTTATCCAGGTAGACAAGACATCCTATTATTACTATTAATATCATTACTACTATTATTTTGTTCGTCTAACAATTAATTTATATATATATATATATAAGCTTGTGCTTCTTTTAATGCCATCGAACACGGCAGCAAGGCTGATACTTCTCAATGGTTAACTTATTGGTAAACATTCAAGATATATATATATATATATATATATATATATATATTATTATACGAATAAACCTTGACGCATTTGCTTTATTATATTTTTATTTAGGATTATATATGGAGCTTTTCACGTTACAGAATTTTTTTCTAATTACATTGTTCGCTGGGTTCCTTCCTACTTTCTCATCAAAACAATATTTCTTTTATGGTAAGTCAATGAACCAACCAATCAATTATTATTATTGGCACACAATTGATATATCTATTTATACATTAAAAGGCTTTCCTTTCCAACGACTCAAGGCGCAAAAGTTATTTACGAAAAAGCAGCTTTAGTTTTTTGTTTGCCATTCTTAAAATATCACCTTTTTACAAGAAAAAGTTTACTATCACAAACTTATTCGCGGTAACCAAAAATAATAGTTATTTGTCATCCACAAAATTGTGGTACATGAATTGTCATACAACACTTGTGATGACGAATTTTTTAATTAAAAATCAATAATAATTATAAAAAAAAAATATGGAATTTTATCAAGGCCTATCTGTTGACTTGAGCCATCTTTTAGAAGAATCTGATGATTATGATGTTATAATTTACGCTGGTAAAGAGCCAAACATCAAAAAGTTTCACGCTCACACAGTCATTTTACGTGCAAGGTCTCCTTATTTTCGTAGAGCTTTGTCAAGAGACTGGATTAGAAAAGAGAATGGTTCAATTATATTTCAAAAACCTAATATACCCCATCAAGTATTTGAAGTAATTCTCAAGTCAGTATCGTTATTATCATTTTGACTTTAGTCTACAAAATAAATTTACAATAATTTATAATTAATTAATTAATCCAGATATATTTATGGTGGTACAGCTAATTTATCTAAACAAGAGGGAGATGTTATTCTTAATTTGTTAACAGCTTCTGATGAATTGAATTTGGAAGAACTAATTGCATATGCACAAGATCATCTTATCAAACAAAAATCAGATTGGCTACAACAAAATCTTCTCGAAGTCTTATCAACGGTAGCCTATTTAGAACCATGTAAAGATCTCCAGGATTTCTGTTTGGGAATAATCTGCCAGGATCCTTGTTGGTTATTTAATTCAGACAATTTTTGTGCACTAGATGAATCTGTCCTGATCCCACTTTTAAAACGAGATGATTTATTGATGGAGGAAATAGAAATCTGGGAGCACTTGACTGAATGGGGTATAGCTCAAAATTTATCATTAAATAATAAGAATATATCAAAATGGACTTTGGAAGATTTTGATTTATTGAAAGTCACTCTTCAACATTGTATACCATTGATTCGCTATTTCAATATTGACTCAGCTGATTATTATGATAAGGTGAGACCTTTTGAAAAGATTTTGCCTGTTGAGCTAAAAGAAGATATTCTACAGTATTATATGAAAAGAGGGCAGGTTAATCAGTTGACATCAGTAATATTGCCACCACGAATTATAGGAATTGATTCAAATATTATCAAGTTTAGACATATAGCTCTGATTTCAAAATGGATAGAACGCAAAGAAAATTATGTTGGTGTGACAAAACAAAGCAGAAAATTTAATTTGTTGTTGCGTGGCAGTAAGGATGGTTTTTCAGCTACAACATTTCATAACCAATGTGACAATCAGGGACCAACACTTGTTATTTTAAAAGTTAAGGGAACAGGTGAAATTCTTGGTGGGTATAATCCATTAAGTTGGCAAGGATATAATTCATCCTCAACAGAAAATGGCTGGATGGTTTCCAGTTCACCTTGGCCAGTAGTACCTAATCGACCAAGACATAATTCAACATTTGGAAGTTTTGGACGTTCATCATCATATGATTCAAGACCATATCAGAGCACAGTTGACAGTTTTATATTTTCTTTGGGTGATGGACAAAATATAGCAAATTCAAAGTTAAGTAGAGTCTTGCAGGATAATATACAATTTGCTGTGTGTTCTTCTCAGAGACTTGGTCCATGTTTTGGACAAACAGATTTGAGAATGAATGATGGTTTTGACTTGCCAGCAAAATGCACATGTCAATGTTATGATTATGATAAAGAAATTTGTGAAACACAAAGTTTTTCAGTCGAAGAATTTGAAGTTTTCCGAGTTGTAAATAAAGATGATCCAGCATTAAATGCTCCATCACCTGCTCAACAAATACAAGTGCCTCGAGAAGTTCCAAATTATCCAACTGCTTGGTATGAATTTTTTTAAATTTTCTTTAATATTATTATATATGTGTGTGTGTGTGTGTATTAACAATTTTTTTTTGTTTTTTAGGGGTGAATTTATACATTTTTAATTTATAGATGATAATACAAAAATGAACCTTATTTTAATTTTTATTTTATATTTATATATGTTTGTGAATATGTTAAATATTTGTTGTAAATTAATTTAGAAATATCCAACATAATTTTTTTTTAACATGGATTTGATTTTGAATTTGAACATCCATTGAACATGAATTGCAGGTAAAAAAGTATTTATTGTTTTATTAAATTATTTTTTGTATAAATTATTATTATCTGTAGTAAAATTTTTTTTGTATAGTTTTTGATATTTATATTCTTTTTTTCTTGTATGTTTTTTATTCATACATAAGTATGACCTTCGTAAAACGAACAAATAAATGGAAAGAATATTTAATTTGACAATTGATAATCATACAATCTAAGTAAATTTCTTTCAAGCATTGCAATAGTAACTTTACCAATAGCAGGAACAAATATACTAGCCTTTTCTTTAACGTTATCATCAAAATTTTTAAAAGAAGAGAAATTTATAGCAATAGCACCATCACGTAATAAGTTTGTAGGTAATTTATAAGTTGATGTTGGAACTCCTGTCACAACTACATCTGAAATAGGAACCACGTCTTCTAATTTAAGATTTGTTTCATGAACCTATTTTAACAGATAAAAATTTTTTTTTTTGTGAATAAACGTATGATTTTTATGAGAGAGAGAGAAAGATATAAAAAATCGGAGTCTTACTTCATGCTTTTTTAATTTTAATCCTGTGCCACGGTGAAATTCAAGAATATTATTTATATCAATAGAATATACCTTTGCACCATCATTTGCTAATAAAGCAGCAAGTGGACGACCAACAATCTCACTACGATTAATCACTGTTATTACACGTCCGTGTAATCTATTTCCATAAGGTAGGACTGAATTATACACTCCAATATATTCCAACACCTAAATTAATTTCCAATTATCCACCCAAAAAATTAAAATTATGACATGGTATTGAAATAAATAAATAATTAATAGTTATGTAATTAAAATAATAAATAGATGATTCTAGTTCTGAATAATTACGTGAAATATGACGATTATAGATAGATGATTCCCTGATTTTAGATTTTTTTCCACGTTTATTATTTATACCTTAACTATAGCTAATGGCGTACATGGGATAATACATTTTTTAGTTTGTAGTTTATCCAGATATCGAATGTTATGATACATATTATATACATATTTGTGACATAATCCTTCTACATCTTTTGAAGGACTAACAACATTTTGAAGATATTGATCCTAAATATAATTAATATATTCCCAAAATTATATAAATATCTTTAAATAATAATCAATATAATGATTTTATCAAATAAAAAATATAGACCTGACGATCTCCAAATACAGGATAATAAATCATTATTCCATGTATGGTGTCATCTTCATTTGCCTCGACGACATTTTCTTCTAATGTTTCTCTATTACATTTTCTTAATTCAAATATAACACCTGTCTCTTCGCAAGTTTTAGCGGTTGCTTCTGCATATTTTATTGCCGAGGGATCATCATTTGCAAGAAAGCCTACGAGTTTTGGATGAATTTCTCGTGAATCTATTGTTTTTTTTATTTCCTCTCTAAATTATAAACATATAATTATGCAGCATGCATGTCAAAAATAATTGTTTTTTCCCTACGATAGTGTGGTTGTCGGTAATGTTATTAAGAAGAAAGCATATATATTTCTTTTCATGTTTACCTGAAACTTGCTGAAATTTCTTTAGATAATATTGTTTTACAAGACATTTTTGATTAAAAAAAAGAAGATAGATCGATCTACAATTCGATATTCTAGATTTTGTGCAGACTTTTAATTTTATTTAACATATAACAATATACATGGTATTTTTTAATTATTTATCTGTTCATTACTTCATCCAAAATTTTTGGAAAAATTGAATTATTTGCTGACGGAAATATTTTTAAATTTTCATAAGAATTCGATTTTAATATTTCTATGAAATCACTTTAAGATATAATCTTTTAATTAATTGATTTACTTAATAATAATGATATCATAATAATAATAGTTGATATTTTTTACCAGGTTTTACTATATGCAAGAAATCCTTGATCATCAAGCTCAATTGCAAGCTCCATCTGATGATTATCCATCAAATCTTCATTTGCCACAACTATTAAAGATTTATTAAGTCTCAAGGATTCTAGAATTGATCCTGATCCTGAGAATCAATTCTTTATTAATTAATTTTAAATAAGAATTATTATTATTTAATATCATAATTATTATGGTTACCAGAATGACTTATAATTAAATTTGCATTTTTCATATCATGATATAAAGAAGATTTATAGTCATATCCAATAATCTGAATTTCATATTTACTATTATTTTCCAGATTATTTTGAAATGCATTTTTGCTTTTCCCATATTGTACGATTAACTTATTAAATCCTTTTAATTTCAAGATTTCCAACGATTCACCTGACAATACTGTTTCAATTAATTTATCAAATCCTGTTGATCCAACAGTCACAAATACACTTTTATCCATCATCATTAATTCTAATAAAATTTTAAAAAAAATCTAATAATAAATTAATGGAAATTATTGATCAACTGATCGTTTCATTTGTATTTAAAATATAAAATCAAAAATTTAAAGAAATAGCAATTTAGTTGTTTGGCAATATATTCAAAAAAATAATCCTGTTTATGGCTTTGTGTAATATTTAACTTAATTTCCTTAAAATCTTTTTAGTATTCGTCTTTAAATAAATATTTCTGAAGAACCTATAAACATTTCATCAATCATACATACAGTCACCATAATAATAATAAAATATCAATTAAATAATTCTGCTGTTTCATTTTTTAATCTACGGATTTTTCGAATAATTGATCGAATAACTTTACATCTAATTTTTTTAAAACATTATTAAGTTACTTGTCAAATATCAAATGATTACAATTAATAAAATAATATTATTTATTACCTGTAATCTATAACCCATATAGGTCATGACTAATAAATAGCTTTGATACTCTTTCGTTAAATGACATGAAGACTTGTGTAAGTGATAATGCAGCTAGTGTTGTAGTAGTAATGAGATATTTTAAAGACATTGAACATATTAAATGTGCAGCTTCCCATCCTATCCAGATATCTGCAAAGAAAGGGTTTGAATTAATTGAGGTTTCATTAAAAAATTAAAAAGATTGAATAAATTTGTGGTAAATAAATACACAAATTAAGATAACGAAATTAACTCTACTTACTAACTGAAGGATGGACTAGTGGCAATGAAAAATTAGATGAGTTGATTAAAAGTACGCAACTTAAAGCAACTACATATCATTATAGTAATCATCTTCAATGGATTCCTTATAACAATTTAACAAATATTGAAAAGGTAGGTGAAGGTGGTTTTGCAACTATATCCAAAGCTACTTGGTTAAATGGTTATAAAAGTGTAAATTATAATAATAAAAGAACAAGTGAAGATAGGAATGTGGCATTAAAAAAAACTACATAATTCACAGAATATTTCTGATGAATTTCTTA